CTTGAACCACACCTTCACTTAGAGCTTTTTGGTGTGTAATATACAAGGAGCTTAAACCTAGTTTAAGCAAATTGCTTCTGTACTTTATATGAAAGGTTCTGAATATGAAATATTTCTTGTATAGGCTTATGAAAGCATTCAGTTTACTCCTGTGTCTTTATACAGCCTTCTAACGTAAATCAAAGATGGACTTAAAAGTTTTTCTTCTTTTGTTGGATGTGGGGCTTGAACTCTGGGCCTGGGTGCTGTCCCTCACCATTTTGGCTCAAGGGTAGCGCTCTACCATTTGAGCCACAGCACCACTTCCGGCTTTTTCTGTTTATGTGGTGCTGAAGAATCGAACTCAGGACCTCATGAACAGGAAGCAAGAACTCTACCACTGAGTCATCTTCTCAGTCCTGAAAGTTTTTCTTCTAATGAATTATGGTGAATTGCTAGACGAATTGCAACAGATTTTAATTTATCTCGACAAGTACCAAGATAATAAAAATTAAATATATAGTATTATGATTAAAAGCACAACTTTTATAACTTAGAACAGAACATAACACTTCAAAGAGATGATTAGCTGCAGTAATAAACTCGAAAATCTGAGGATTAGAAATTTATGACATTACTATCTCCGTCAGTATACAGCGGAGCTAGGATTTAAATCCAAGATCAGCGGATTCAGAGCCTGTTCTTCTGTTTCTGCCATTCTGGATATTGGGGAATGATTTTTGGTCTCAGTGTGTTCTGGAAGAGCGTCTGACATATGTTAAAATACAGTTCAACTAAGCTAAAAATGTCTTTCATGAAGTAGCCAAGTGATATAGCTGAATTGAAGTTTGTATATTGAAACAAAAATTTTCTCCACTCCTAGGGATTGTAACTCAGGGCCTTGGACATTAGGGAAACACTCCATATTGTTGGGCTACATCTCTACAAAGTCAGTGTTTTGTTCTAGACTTGTCTCCTTGAATTCATTATAAGAGTTCAGATTAGTGAGCTGGTTTATATACTGACTTCTGGTAGCTGTGATCATTAGTGCTTGCCTGTCCACTTGCTGGCCAGCAGGTTAAATACAAGTATATTGTGACTTCCAAGAATGTGTACTTGGATTTCACTGAAACAAAGAAAGTTGGGGCACATTGAGAAATGATTTTCTTTAAAAATTTTTGTTTAGTAGGTGAATAAACCCACTTTTTTTTTTTTTTTTTTGGCCAGTCCTGGGACTTGGCCTAGGCACTGTCCTTGAGCTTCTTTAGCCCAAAACTAGCACTCTTCCATTTGAGCCACAGTGCCACTTCCAGTTTTTCTAGTGGTAAATTGGAGATAAGAAATCTCAGATCCCACTCTCCCAAGTAGCTAGGATTACAGGTGTGGGCCACTGGCACCTGGCCTCTACATTCCTTTTTTTTTTTTTATTGAGTAAAATATTTTATATCAAAATTGGGTAGTTTGTCCCCTCCCCTCCCCCCC